TAGCGTTCTGCTCTCCATCATCATAGCGTGCAGGGGAATCCTTGGACGCTGATACCTCGTTCAGTCAAGCTTCAACAGCACGACAATGCTGCTTTCGCTTAGCAGTGCTGGGCCAGCGCTTGGTCAACAAGGCATAGACCCTCTAACCCTGCCATCGAGCAAATCCTGCATGCCCAAAACTTCCCTTGGCCCGGTACGATCTAGGAGATGGACTAGCGCACAAGCAGTGCGTCGCTAGCCTACTGGCGTTTCTTAGCAAGCCCAAGGTGCCGCTCAGCATGTCGCTGAAGCCGTTCTTCGGTCACGATATGCTTAGTGCTCACTTTCGCATAACTTGGACAACCGGCGAGGGGAGCACAATGCGGCTTCAGGAGCGAGAGCGAGGACGAAGCGACAGCGAAGAAAAGTGAAATGGTGACTGGTTTTCTCTGCCTTTTTCTATTCTACACGTTTTCTCACGATAACACGTTTAGAATAATCGAATAAGCCTTGCGCGGTCTGGCCAAGACAGTACGACTGCAAATGACTAGCTAGAGCCTGAGAAACCGGCGGTATGTACGAAGCGAATGGTAGATAGATTCTCGTCGCTTATTGACATATTGGTATGAACGTTGCAACCCTGTGATATAAAGCCGTGCTTTTGGCAACAACCTCGTGCAGGGTACAACTATTCTGCTTCCTCATCATCTCCTACTGAGACTTTTAGTGCATACACACCCAAAGACAGGCGATCTTGCTGAATGCACAAATCACACAGTGGTTGCGTGAGAAAGTAGCCTCTCGATGCACTTTGTTAACAAATGACCTGCCTCCTGCAGCAACTCCCACCTAGTCTGCTTGAACAAGTCTCGCATGATGATCAGCAGCCCCAAGCAAGCATTGCGATGCGAAGTCTTACTCAGATCTTCAGGTGTTTTCACGCCGCCCATGCGATTGAGGTACACCACCATATCCTCGACCTTGCGTTCGTAGTACAAGAGTTGGTGCGGCGTCTGAACCGGTCCTTCTAGCGCAAAGCCGTACGACCAGACAACGAGTGTGGCCAGATAAAGCGCCCATGATCGGTATGGGATGTGGTCGTCGCGCGCGGAGTAGGAGGAAATGTCGCTGGATGGGTTGCTGGGGTTCGGGCTGCGGCCTCTTCTGACCATGACGCGGGAAAGCAAGTAGAAGGCATGGAACGTGGCGTGTCGGGCTCGGGGGGTGGGAGCCCATTGCTCCATCCGGCGTTTTGCGTCTTTAAAGTCCTGTAGGGTTATCGGCTCCCCAAGTACTTCGGAAGCACCAGCATAGATCTGGCAGTCGACAAAATCGACATGTGTGGCCATGTTTGCCAGGTGGTATAGGACAGCCTGGGATTCAGAGATGTCATCGTCGCCAGTACCATCCCGACACCCATGTGGATCCGGAGCAGGGCAGTCTTCCTGCCTCCAGATGTCAAGAGCGTGGGTCAAGGATGCTAGCCGCTTGTCTTGTGTATCGAGTGCTGCTGTCATGCCAAGCGAGCTGGTTTGTAGATCCCACTGGTTCACATGCCATGACACGCTCAGCAAGCCTGCCATAAGTATCATGCGTCCGAACGGACTAGTTTTTACCGCTTCCTTGTTGAACGTTTTCTTAAGGCCGTCAAGGAAGGATATTGGATAGACGCAATCTGACTGCATAGCCTGACGAGCTTCAGAACTACTTCTTACAGACCAGAGAGCTTCGTCACATGGCAGCGGAAGACGCATCTCGTGAGTAGCTATGACAGCGCTTTGGCCGAACACGGTAGCATGCATGCTGTCGATGACGAAGGCCGCGAATGCTGCTCTTCTAGTAGCCTCTTCCGTGATCCAACGTCTCCACCACTCATCGAGTCTGTCTGTTCCGCTGATGCCATGACTTGATTTTTCTTTGACGCCAGGATGCGAGTCTGTCACTGACCGCCCGTTCAACGAGTTTCCTCGCCTTAGCAGCGTCCATGTGGTGGCATGGTAGACGTGCGCCCTTTCATGCAGCAGACGTGTGGAGTACATCTTCTCAAAGACCTCGACAAGGAGCAGGCTCTGAATTGCCCATAGTTTCGCTGGTGGACGGGCGTTGGGGTCCATGAGAAGCGCCCAACGCAAGTGCCACGCCAAGAAGTCAGATAGCTGAGCACAAGACTGTGTCGTCTCTTGATCGTAGTTCTTTTCCAAGGAAGAAGCTCCGAGACACATGATGGCGAGCAGTAGGAGCTCGGGACATGTGCTTGCGTCGAATGTTGGCTTGTGGAGAATCGGTAACTGTGGGTGGACGTGGTTCCAGTACGAGCTGATGTACGATTGCATCATGTACAGACTCAGTACGTGGCGGCAGTCGTCTTTGTTGCCCTTCATGATAGCTTCCTTTTGCGCCATGACTGGTGCGTGACCTGTTCCGTTGAAGCGCAAGCGAATAAGATCAAGGAGGTCTTTGCGCTTCTCATCGAGCAGTACAGTTTCGGGAAGCGAGGTGTCCAATGTGTTCTGAACAGATATTAGATACGCAGATCGAGCCGGGTTGTTCAGGTAGCTAGCGACAGGGTGTATGTAGTCGAAAGGCAGTTCTTGAGATTCAGTTTGCGGCCACGCATCAGCTACTGGGTATACTGCACTTGGATAATTTATGTGTGGTGAGCCTCCTGAGCTGAACTGGTTGCTGTTGAGAAGCCATGCCTTGAAGTCGTCAGCCATGGCGAATGGTGATTGATTATACGTGTTATTGTAGATCTGATTCTCTTGTCTTCGAGAAACAGGCATGTCTGTTGGTCGGACATATTCTGGTGGAGATAAGGCAGAGGAAGGGGGGTTCTGCAGTGAACTATACCCACCAGCGCTGGCCTGGTAGTCGACCGGGGATGACCTTGAGCCACATGAGCTGGTATTTGACGTCTGCGCGCGTAGACCGGGCGATGCAAGGTTCTCATCATCCGCATGAGGGTGGTTGTGGAGAGAGGCGTGACCTGTACTATAGCCGTCCAGAGCCGCGGCGCGCAATAGGAGTGCAAAGTCTCCATAGCTCTGGGACTGCATGTCGTGGGGCTCAGTCTCTGAGTCGCTGCCATAGATGCCGTCGCTCACCGGTCTCTGCGGCGGATTTAGGCTACTAAGGATGGTAATAGGGTTGGGAGGCATTTGGTGACCAGAGCCAATTATGGAGGCGCTATAGAATGGGTGTTGCACGCCATGCATTTCCTCAGTTTTCATGGTGTATAAACTCGAAAGTGATGCATCGTTCGCATTGAGTGTGGCTGCCACGTTGAGGTATGGATTGCGTTTTCTGGAGATGTCTCTGCGCAGTAGTTGCGAGCCGCAAAGCACATGTCTCTCCTTGTGACGGGTGTATAGATCTAGTCGAACGAAGGAACGGCTACAACCAGAAAAGTTGCAATAGTAAACTTGACTGCGGCTGTCTATACAATATCAGCGTGTCATCTCAACGCTAGCGAGAAACACTGGAGATGGCGAACTCACGGCTCAACTCGTGGCGGGACCGATGACTTGCGGTGGAATAGCCTTTTCCACAGCCGTAGTATGAGCAGATGAACTTCTTTTTACAGTCATTCCTGTCCTGCTCTTCGCTCTTGGAGAAGCCACAGTCATTGCCGCTATCGCCATCAGTGTAGTCGCCTTCGTCTCTGTCAGGCGATGCTAGACTCGAGGACTTGCTCGCAGCACCGACTGTAGCAATCTCCCCGTTTCGAAAGTCCGTTCGGGACTTGATTAGACCTGATGCACTTGTAGAAAGAGCATGCGCTACCATTGTTGGCAAGAGCTCGAGTGCAATGTCGTGTGTTCTTGGCCTACTGAGAAGTAAAGTCCGTACGGCGTGAAAGCAGGAGAATGCTGCATGGCCTTTGGGTGGTGCTGTTATAGTCTCGAGAAGTCCTTTGCCGGGTTATGAGAAACCGGCATGGAACGGCAGCAAAGTGAAGCGAATCGTCCAACCGAAATGAGCAACGGACAGGCCAACATAGCCAAAGATTTCCCGACAGGTCAGCGGTATCTTTAATGCTTCCCGTTGAAGCAGTGGTGAATTTGGGGGCCGGATGCGGTGGCCTACATGTGCAGCATCAGAGGTCGTCCATAGTCCGACATGTCCGTCCGCCGCGTCTCAGTAGGTTACTGGGCGTACGAGAAGCCTGGATGTAATATTGGCAAACCACCTGCGCGGGGCACTATCATCCGCGTCCGGGCCCGACCGTTGGACACGCACCTCAAGACGAAAATGTACATTGTGCCTGTTGCCACAAGAGCGGTCGGTTCCAGAGCTCCTGCAAGACAGCCAGGCTTGCACGAGGCGTTAATCGACACTGAGACATCCTCACGCTACAAAAGCCTCAGCTCGCTTTCCCGTGCATGCGGGTTATGCAAGGGACGTGCTAGGACGTAGTGGAGTTGGAGATGTAGAAGCGATACTCAACGGTGCATGAACGTGACGCAAGCCTCCTACCGCCATTAGTTGTCTCTCCTAGCCCGCCTCGCAGATTGCTGCCCTTCCAGGCTGGCTGGGCGGCTAGTGCTCAAGAAGTTGGTGCAGCCGCAAGCTCCGTCTCGGCATGCAGGGTTGAGTTGCATAATTCATTCTTTCGATGCTGCAGGGCACACGAGACCTGACTTGGGTGGCTATGTGAATGGGAACAGGAGCCTTGTCGCTCTTGTTATGCCAAACTGAATTTGGAGTCACTTTCCGGAAGCGCCCAGCGATACGCGTCTGGCCTTCCCGCTAACTCTCGTATGGCTTGAATGAAATCTGTGACAAAGATTGAATATTGTCAATACTGATAACTGTGGTGCATCTACCGCAGGACGTTGAACTTGATCAAGTCATTGTTATACCCCTATCGGACTTTCCCTCGGTTGTTCTTCTGCATCTGTCATCCCTAATTATTCTGTCTTTCAAGTGCATCAGGTCGACCGTACGTAACAGTGTCTGTTCATGTATGTATCTAATCAGTACACAGCGCCAAAGTGCTACATGAACACGCGGAACAGCAGACAAGGAGAACAGCTGCTTTGGAGGGATTTCCAAACTCTTTGTCAGAACAGTATCCAGCCATGCCATATGCGAGACGAGAGCAGACGAGCCGGATAGGTGGAGTCTGCAGGCGAATGGCTGGAACCACGGTGTAGAAAGACTTCTCCCTGAATGGCTATACTAAGAATCCCGACTTCCTAAGCAATCGTTTGCCAACAGTTCCAACGACCTTTGCAGTGATTTCACTCTGATTCTGGTGAGAAGACGATATACCAATCGACAATTTACCGGCAGAGCTTGATACAAGCGGGAAAGATGTTTGTCGATTCATATCTGGTTGACACTCGTGTACTTTCTCGCCACCAATCCGCCGAACTAGTCGAACAAGAGTACTGTCGACCGCTAGACCCGGCTACATGATCGGCGTGGCTCTCGAGGTTCTCAGAACTTTCTTCTACCACTCACTCCAGCAACCAATCGCAGAATTTTTCCCGTTGGCAAGATGGCAAGGCAGTTGCCGAGAATCAGCATGCGACCCTGCAAGCCTGCTTCCAAGTTATCGTACATAGGCCATGTTCTCCCGCTTTTGTCTTGCCTTCTTGTCAGGCCATACGCCCTACATAAAGGTAGGAGGAGTAAACAGCACAGCTGAGGTCGAAAGGCACTTTCTCTATCCAGGCAGGAATTGGACTCTCGAACTTGATTTCGTGCAAAAGCCTATGTGCCCTTAAACGAATCTCTATTCTTTAAACCTTTGATCCATCGGTATTCCCAAAGCCAAGTCTCCAGCGTTCCATGTCCACTATATTACAATCGGATTCTCCACAGGAGTTCCATAGCTCCTCAACCGAAACACCAGCATGTACGTTGCTGCTCGAGACATTGGCACCCACCGTGCTGCTAGAGACGCTGGCACTCACCACGCTGTTCGAGCTATCGGCATCTTTGGTGCTGCTCGTCGGCAAATCGACTGAAGTTGCCCTAGACGAAATCATTCTCAAGCAGCTCAGAAGTGTCATCGTGGACAAGATGCACTATTCTCTTGTTAGTGAGACAGCCCATCAAAAGGGGAGAAGAACACACCACCGGCAGATCCTCGTACAGTTGTTTGTTACAGAAGAAGAAACCAGTCAGTGCTAGAAAAGCAACAGCCTCCGAGGCGGACATGATGCAGAATCTGATACCTGTTCGTCGGGCAAGAGGGGTGCTCTCGTCTTGGGACCAGATTTGCCTCAGCAGCAGCAGCGAGTGGACCGCACACACGACCAAGCCAATGAATATAGCTGGCAGATGAAAATACCACTCGTCATGGCCCGTGTAGCCCACATGCTCGAGAACTGGGGGCACAAACGCCAACGGCAGATTGAGCAAGCTGCAGACGCATACCATGCAAAACAGCCAGAGTTCTCCATTGCGAATAATTAGGGAACTAGCCACACACTGCGAAGTGTTAGCCTCCTATACCAACAGGGGATTGGGGAAAGAGAAAACACTTGCGTCGGCAAATGCAAGAGAAACACACGCATTCCTCTCCATAGCTCTGGTCCATGCATACAACTCCGTTCGTGTAGATGGAGCCAGAGCGACAGTTGATAGAACCAGAGCGGCAGCTGATAAGAAAAGGGCTATAGCCCTGCTCGCGATAAGCCCACCACGAGCCCATTGGTAAGCTTTATCGCTAAAGCCGATACCGAACGCCTTGGGTTCATGAGGAGGACGTATGCTTAGTTTCCAGTATCTGGCCGAAGTGACGGTCAGTCCACCGAAAACGAGTAGCAGTAGAAACTGATGACACAGCATTTGCGACAGCTGCAGCTCCGATGTTCGGACAAGGCGAGACAAGAAGGCGATGCGAAGAAGAAGGCAAACGAAAGAGGCTGAGCTTCACGTTCTGTGCTGCAAGGTACGATCATTAAGAATCGTGCTGCAAGCGGAAGCGGAACGAGGGTGTGAAGACCTGAACCCTGCTCGTCCGCCGGGTCGTCTCCAAGCACATCCGCACCCGTTCCACAGTCTCGTTTCGAGCGGGAATATGGCGCCGGGAGTAAGACGACTTCCATGCGAGCAGCTGCTAGTCTGTACCGGGCAGCATCAGCCGTCTGAGGCACCGTCCGAACTCCTGGCTCGGAAATGGTCAAAGCCACAATCGATAGATGACGATGTGGAAAGCGTATGTGCTTGCCCGGCCCGCTGGTTTCGGTTCCGTGCCGTGCAGCCTCGCTGGAGATATGCAGGTTTGAAAGCGTGCATGATGGGATGCGATTACCACGCGAGACTCCATGATGTCATGCAGCTTTGATTATGCGAATCCGACGTCTATGCAGATTGGCTGTGGTTTTGCGCATCCCCTAATAAGACAAGTCCTTGTACGAACTGCCATCGCGTTCTCTCTGTTGGCGCAGCGTTCATGCGGGTGGCTTTCGCTGCGATCTGCTTCCCATGCAAGCAATCTGGAACGAGATGAGACGTCGAGGTAAAGTTCTCGCTTACGGCCTGTCAGCGAACGCCAGGTACATGGAGGGTGCACGGCCACTAGCGGCATGAGCGGGATGTCAGGTGTCGGAAACGCCCCCCACACGCGCTCTCGAAAGGGAACGCCACGCTATGGGCGGACTAAACACATCTGACGAGCGAATCAGACGCTATGAAGGCTCGATCAAGGACAGGGGCGTTTCGGCCCTTCCAGACCGCCGCCGCCTTCCCACCTCTCTGCCGCCTTCTCACGTCGCCGCCGCCTTCCCACCTCTCTGCCGCCTTCTCACCTCTCTGCTGCTTTTCCACTTCTCTGCCGCCTTCTCACGTCGCCGCCGCCTTCTCACGTCGCCGCCGCCTTCCCACCTCTCTGCCGCCTTCTCACGTCGCCGCCGCCTTCTCACGTCGCCGCCGCCTTCTCACGTCGCCGCCGCCTTCTCACGTCGCCGCCGCCTTCTCACCTCTCTGCTGCCTTCCCACCTCTCTGCCGCCTTCCCACCTCTCTGCCGCCTTCCTACGTCGCTCTACATCTAGTAATGGCCCAGTTACGTCTATCTACCGTGCTAGAATTAAACGATCCAGCCGCAGAAGCAAAACATCGCCTTTTGACAAAACTGCTGCAAATGAAACAGTCTAGGGCCCAGATGGCCTCGAATACTATCTATGAGTGGGATAAATCGTATTGTAAAAAACACGTTTCCGAATGGAACAGTCTATATCATCCGAAGCTGCATGGTAATCGACGTGAAAGTGAGGACAAGAAAGCACCAAAGGAAGCGAAACAACGCCAGAGCGAATTCGTGTCTTTGATTGAAACAGTGTACGGTGTACGGTATGCATGGATTCTGAAAAGATTCCCGAATTCTCTCTGGTATTTCGATAATAAGCGATCAAAGGCAGGTGTGAACCTACTAGTGACTCTTATTAAGTTCGCAGAAGACGCGCAAGATGCAGCTCCTGCATCGAATGCGACCGCTTTTCACGCTTCACCAACCGAGCACTTACCTTCCACGCCTGCAGCAGTCGAAGACACTTCCGATCAGTACCAACGCGATGAAACAACACTTATCAACGAGAACCTCAACAACATCCAACAGTTGCAGGTTACGACTGCATACGAAAGAAAAAGCGATGGAGTACAAGCTTCTATTACGCCACTAAGCGTGCCCGGTACATCATCGCCCGGAATTGCAAAGCGTCGTCTGGCGGACCGGGAGGATGAGAGCGGCAGTGAGCATTTTGGCACCGATGTCTCTGGAGATCAAACGTCGCAGTATCCCAAAGCAAAGCGAGTTCGTCAAACGCCTAATGCA